AAAATCAACGGTTTAACGAACCACTGGGTCGGGCCGGTTCATGTGAACGGGCCCTTAGATATAGCCGGGCCGGTTTTGGGCCCAGCATTTGAGGCCCGCCGACCCGGCAGGCAGGGCCTGGTCGTGAACCGGCCCGACCTTTGAACACGTCTAGATGGTGGCATCGCCGGCGGGTTGAAGACGGGGTAGCTCGGTCATTGTGGACTAGCGGCTTCGCTCGCGGGTCGCGCACGATTGACGCTTGGTGATGCCCGCGAACTCGCACGCTGCCAGGTTGCTGCCCGAGGTGCGGGCTCGCTGGGTGTGGGCACTGGGCTGCACTTGGGCATTGGCAGGCTGCTGCACAGGGCGCGGGAGACGAGCACGCCACACACGGGTGACAGGTGCACTTGCTGCCAACGCGCGGGCGACGGGCGCGCCCGTCGGGCTACGCTCGGTGTTGGACCACGGTTCCACCGGACGCTGATTGGGAATACCGGCCCAGAACATTCAGACGAGTTTTTTGAAAAGTTTTTCGACTAGTTTCCATTGACTTTTCCAGCGAGTTTCCCAACACTTTCCCATTGTGGTTCCGTCGGGTTTTCCTGTGTTCTTTTTTTCGACGTCAAACATGTTTCTAGAGCTTATTTTCTATAAAATGAAGTATAAAAAGAGACAAAAAATGCACAAAATACTAAAACAACAAGAAAATACATAAACGGGCAAAAATGACTAAATAGATCGAGAAAACCTTAAAATAGACTAAAACGAGTACAAATTAACCACTAAAAAATACATAAAATAATAACACGAACATAACAAACATTGATAAAAACGTAATTAATTTTGCCATATTATCCACTATTCCTTTTAATATCTCTCCTGCCAAAACTTCTCTCCTTGTATCTTAAGACGTCATGTCCCATGAAATTTTCACGTAACCTTCCAGACTCATTTCAAGTAATAAGATGAACCCGTCTTTTTCTAGTCTTACCATTCCTCTAGCAATCCTCACTGCCGAAGAAAAATAAGTGATAAGAAGTTTTCAATATTTGAAGTCTAGGATATCTAGATTCAACATTAATCCGTAACAGTGAATGAGTTCCAACTAGGACTTTCCACAAGGGTATTTCAGAGGTTTGGAATTCGAAAACACATTCTACTTCCCCCACAATGCTCATTTTCAATATGGCTAAGAAATTCGTCTGTCTTGACCTGGTTGGTATGGACCATAGAGTATCTCTACTGACTATCGTTGATCCATCTCCCACATTCATCTTTAAATAAATTACTAATACAACACCCATGTATTACATGGGTGACGACGGTGCCTCGTTCATGGACGGATTCATAAAAGTGGGATGGGTATCCGGACAAGTCAAATCCAAGACCGTCCCGGCTGGCGCCCACCCTTACTATAAATAATCAACATATTGTAGATAATCCGAACCTAAATATATTTGGATTAGAAGTAAACTAAATCTAACTAAGCCTAATAACGAAGCATGTATTTTTGCCACATAGGATCCCGAAGCATGCGAGCCTGCCACATAGGCTCAACACGTTCTCAATTAATATATAGGGAGGGATACCTAATACATCAAAGGATCAACCTAGGTCATATAGATCTTCAAGAATGATTCTTTCCATTGCTTAATAGATTTTCCTTTCATTATAACACTTAAGTTTTCGTTCTCCGTCATTGGTAATCGAAGAACCTCACTAGAATTTCCTATTGATGTAAAAAGAGTACAATTACTAAAGTTACTTTTCGTTGTCCTCAAGAACATAGTTTGTCCTCTAGAGTTCTAATTCATTTTAGGATGTCAATACAGATTTCTAAAGTGACATTGATCTTTCATTTACTCTTCAATACCTGTTAAAATCTTTCAACTTTCTTGTTACTAACACTTGCTTTTCACCCAAGTTTTCTAATATCTTTTGCACTTTCCATATATCTACGAAGTACTAAGAGGAGTGGAATAATTTTTTTACAACTAGAAATATTGTTGTGACTTATCTTTATTGATGAGTCAGTTTTTGATGATTCATTAAATTTGTTGGTAGCAGTTGGTTTACCGATAGGTAATCCATATGGTACTTATTTTTGTTTTCCGATTAGTGTTAGAGTTGTTCTATGAACACTGGCCAAGCTTGTTCAACATATCATCCCTCCAAATGTGTTACATATTCTCGTTCATATATCTTCAAGATTTGAAGATAGCTTGTATAATGTAAACATTTTAAATGATTTTTTTTATATTCATATTCTTTTTAAATTTCTCCTCACCATAATTTAGTTACTATATATTAAATTCATCTACAAGTTCTTTGTAAAACCTAGAATTTGATACTATTTAAGCACACAAGTACTCTCCAGAGTAATTTCAAGTACTAATTAAATGTAAATAAATTAGGTACACTGCATGGAGTTCACAATGTCATGTACTATTTGAAAGAAATTTGATACTTTTTAGATGAAAACATTACTCTTTATTCAATAGATAAGTATTGGAAAAAAAAAAAAATCGTATTTTTCAAATTAGAGGGACTAATTATTTTGGCCTTATCCATCGACTAGGGGAAAAATTCAAAACTAACCCAAAATGAAATTAGATAAGTCAAACAATCTCACAACTCTCAAAAAGTAATCAGAATTAAGACTTTTGATGCGATTTAGTGTGAAAGGCCCGAAAAGTTGTGTGGCGCGGAGGTAGCGTTTTTTCTTGACACGCTATCAACAGTCATTACACACATGGTGTGACATTAAACCCGTGGGACTAGTTTTGATTTCTATTCCTTATATTGTTATGCTCTTCTTTTGTTATATAAATTATTATATATATATTAATTAATATAAATACATTATTAAGTAAATCTA